CTCAATCATCCCCTTATACGATTTCCTGAAAAACCTGTTCAGGTCGAATGAGGGTGCTGTTCAAGTCTTTAAACGGGTTCCCCATTTCTTCCGCTGGGGCCGGGTGGACGTCCTCTCGTCCAACCTCTCGTTTCTTGTGGACTGCGGTGTCCCTTGGTCATCTCTCCTGTCACTGTTCACGTACCAGCCAACAATGCTCATGGTTCCTCAGGAGAAGTTATCCTTGTGCGTGGGTAGGGCAATAGAAATGGGGTTTGACGTCACCAATAATGCATTTTTGATGGCCACTCGGGTTTTGGGTTATGGGGAGTCGATTCTCAAGCACAAGATGGAGGTTTATAGAAAGTGTGGCTGGTCGGAATCTGACATAAGGACCGCCTTTCTGCGTCATCCGCTCTGTATGACCTTGTCCGAGAAGAAGATTCTGGAGAGTATGGGTTTTCTTGTTGATAAATTAGGGTGTGCACCAGGTGACGTGGCTCGGTGCCCTTTGCTTCTTAGTTACAGCGTCGAAAAGAGAATGAAGCCAAGGTGGGCGGTTGCTACGGTTTTGAGTGAGAAGGGGCTGAAGAATGTGGTTGTCACGTCCTTGCTGACAGTGTCCGAGAAGATTTTCTTGAAGACCTATATCGAGAGGTACAAGAAGGATGTTCCTGAACTTCTAGACATCTATCGAGGTAATCAAATCCTGTCCGGAACCTCTTGATTTAATTTCTGGTGGATGAGTTAAGGTAATTGATGATTTTGTTTGCCGGATTGCGAGCATTATTACCAGAATCTTGTTTTTAATGTTACATCCATAATCCTCTTTGATTGAACTGCAGTTACAGAACAGTATTTTGATGATGAGTTGATTGATGGTTTTCTGTTTTTTTCTGGTAACAATATAAATTGTTATAATTTCCTGAATGAACGCATTATTTCTCGCATACAACTTATTAATATAATTTAACAAAAGCGCTGACTGCTGAATGTGACATCTTCACTATCAAGTAACGTGGATTTTTAATGAAGGGAATACTTGGACCGTGATGGAAAGATCGAGCTCTCACATGTCTGATCTTGTCCTTGACATTTAGCACATTTTGCACGATCCTCCTACCCCTCTTCAGAAGTTAGTGGTATTTTACAAGGTACACGTATTTGTCACCATCCTAGCAAACGTCTTTATATTTCTTGGCGTTTCAGTTTGGTTTGCCTTAGATGCAATTTTATGTCTCTTACGATTTGCCTTTGTGCTATCTTGCTCCATTTGACGAATACTTCAGTTTTTCGTTTACCTTCTTCTATCCGAAGTCGAAGTCGAACAATAAAAATCGTAAGTTTCACCTATTTGCTTGCTTGCGTTTATGCAAGAGATGACCTTCCAACAAAGGAGACAACTTTTTTGACAATTGTCGCCACTTGAAAGGTGCCGTTCACATTCAATTCTTCGACAAAAAAAAAAAAAAAAAATCGTACACAAGGAGTTTACCATAAAAAAATTTCTTAATTCTTTTGTTTTTTGTTTTGTACTTTGTTTCTAAGAATTTCATAATTCTTTGGACATCTTAACCAGACCTTACACATTATGGAGTATGTCGTCGAGTTCATAATTCTTTGAAATTCTTATACTGAATGAAAAAATAAATAACACAATATGTTTGTTACACCGCAAATGGAATCTTCTCGATCGCCGGTACCTGCACAACATGCCGGGGGTGGTCCCGGTGTGAACACTCCGACGCTCAAGTCAGTAGGGTTTTTAGGAGAAACAGATAGGGTATTTTGAAAATATGCGCGTGCGAGTTTGTATAAAAATGAGAGAACTTTATATAGACCCAAGAGTCCATGAACTCTGGGACTTCCTTCTCCATCAGAATCGTACTCCTAACCGTCTCTTTGAAAGTTATCCAATGTCAGAGTTCTCCCCACGCCTAACCTCTTTGAGTAGATTCCGAGCATCCTTCCACACGGATATCCCAGCTTGGCTTTGCTATCATCAATAGCTCGGTACACCCCTCCTAAGCTCTTCCATGGTTATGTCGAGCTGCATCTAAAAAGTCACCCACAAATGCCGATTCTGGTAGCTACCTTAGCAGTTAGCAACTAGTTGACTTCTTAGTGAGGCGGGGCGGGCCGAGCTCATATAGCTCGGCCAGTTGCACTCATGTAGCTTGGCCGACGCATACTTCATGCTATAGCAATGCTATATAAACATTTAAAAATGTAATGTAAGAGCTCTTTGATTGCAAGTGCATTGAATGATTCATGCATGAGAGTATTTATAAGTGTAGGGAAACACTTCAAGAGGTTCAAGTGTTAAAACACAACTTTTGGGACATGTCCGGACGCACTCAAAAGTCAAAGGGATGCGACCCATGTGGGTCTCGACAAGTGTTGCCCAGTTGAAAATTGGAATAAAATGCTAGCAGGTATCATGGACCGTGATGGAGCCAGTTGCATCCACGTGCCGTGAGCCCGCACGTGCTTATTCAGACTCCAAATCGTGACCAATTTTTTCCTACTTGTCTCCATTGAACCCTATAAGCAATGTTCTGAAAACCGGACCGGTCATCGAACCGGTCAAGCTACTGATTCAATGGTTCACTGGTTCGACCAGTGGTTTGACCGGTTGAACCGGTATTTAATATATTAATATTTTTAAATAATTTATTGTATTTTTAGTATTAAATAACATATACAAAACATTATAAATAATTAAAATAGAAACTTATACTATTTCAACCAATAAATAAATACAATATATATAAAATCTTAAAATGTATTCAATTCATTAATATAAAAATAAAACGTAAATACTAAATATATTATTATATATGTATATATTAGAATTTGGAGAGGCGTAGTGGTAATGGTATACAGCAAGCCACAGACTTTTTAACTTTTCACGTGACACCTACCACTATCAGCATAAGTTTGAAGAAAACACAAATGGAAAAATTATTGAGAAAAAAAAAATCCCAAATTATATTTCCCACGCAAGCTTCAGCCTTCAATTGGCAGCGAGCTTTCTAGAGAGAGCAAAAACCAGAAAGGGTTTCGTCACGGAAGAGGACGGCAGCGAAGTCGAGTTAGCTTTCTCGGAGAGAGGCTCTGGGATGCCGTCGCGGGTCTCCGCCGAGGAGATCTTCCACAACAATGAATTTGGCGGCCGAGTTTCACAGATTAATAAAAACAAAGCAATTTATGCGAACCGCTCACTCGTTCTAACCTGTTCCGATTTAACAGTTCTACCGGTTCAAACGGTTTTCCACCGGTTTTTGATGTCAACGGTTCCAGTCAGTCTACCGGACCGCTATGTAGGCCGGTTCCCGGCTGAACCGGCCGGTCCGGTCCAGTTTTGACAACCATGCCTATAAGAGTTCAAGCATGCTCAATGCATGATTACATCTCGTTAGATTTGCCCAAGTATTCGTCAAATACCAAATGCTTGCACATTTAACAATTTTTTAGTTACTTAAAACTTTTCAAGGTAAAAAAAAAAAATTATACCTCTCAAACTATACCAATTTTAGAGTTTGCCTTACGAATATTTTTTCTTGACAATTTGTCTCTCATAGTAATTGAAACTGAAATTGAAAACCCTAATGTGGCACAAGAAGTTTTTAACTTAATTAACGATAAAATTTAAAATTGATCTTAAATATTGATTTAGGGCTTTTAATGCACATGACGAGACGAACAGAATGAGGTATGGTTTGTCGACTTCAGAAAATTAATACCTCTGTAATCGATCGAAGATAGTAGGAGCACATGTGTATAGAAAAAAACAAATTCAATTCATGTTTTCTGATAATCAAGATATTCGATTTTTGATTGGAATGTGTCATTGAAAGTTTGTAGGACCAATTTTCTAATGTGTAAATCTTATGAAAATTCAACAGCTATATTAGAGTTTTCAATCGGGGAGGCAAATTGACAGTTTCTATTACTATGAGAGGGGAATTGTCAAGAAAAAAGTTCGTATGACAAACTTTAAAAATCGGCTTAGTTTGAGAGGTTAAAAAAATTCCCACTTTTCAAACTATATTTTTTCACACCTACTACATTAATTTCTCATTCATGTTGTAATGATGTTATATTGATTTTATTTTCTATGTCTTTGATTTACAAGTACAAAGCTAAATTTTCTTACGCATACAACATTCATCACATATTTCGAACAAGCGATCGCATAAAGACAAAATACATGGATAAAAGTTTCCAATACATACATACAATAAGTGAAACGAATGATAATTGCAGAAAGTTTATGTAATAATAGAACAATGACAACACGAATCTAATCTGCAAATCCAATAAAAAAGATAATAATAAAAATATAAATATAAATTTAACAATCAACGCCTGAAAATAAGAAATATGCAACGGTGCCTTTCGAGTGAACTATTTTGGTCACCCGTGTAATTATACACATGATGGTTGTGAAATTTTATTTATTTTTTTCAAAGAAAGAAGTGTTTGTTTTATTTTTAAATAATTATTATGATATTTTAAATGACGTGCTCATATTGATTATAGTAATTTTAATACCTCATGTCATGTAATAAATTTATTGATAAATAACATTATTATTATTATTATTATTATTATTATTATTATTATTATTATTATTATTATTATTATTATTATTGATAAATAAATAAATTTATTATTATTATTATTATTATTATTATTATTATTATTTTTTGGTCAAGCTTTATTATTTTTTTAGTTAATATTAATAAATAGGTTTTTGATGAACATATGAATAATCGATAACAAATACTACTAAATATAATAACTTCAACATATGTTTATAACTTGGCTGAAGATTAATGTTTTACCCATTGAGATTTGGGAGTGCTCTTATTTCCCTGATAATGCTAAAAACAGAAAACATAGAACAAAATATTAAGGTAAATTATTAAATTGATACCGATACGCATCTTCAAACCCTCCTCCGTCTGCTCGTCAGCTAACCAAGTCCGTTGAATTCAAAATCGAATTTCGAATCGATGTTCGCCATTTTCCGTGGCAGACGACTCAGGCTCCCACCGGATCTCTTTATTTTCGCCACCTCTCGGTTTCGGACTTCTGAAAATGCAGTCAGGGCGTTCACCACCGGGAAACCACCGCAAGGTGTTCGCGAAAATGACCCTGAGAAATCCTTTACCTTCTCCTACCTCGTCAGCTCATGCGGGTTGGCCCCAGACGCCGCCGTCCGCGCCTCCAGTAAACTCAGGCTGAAATCGCCTGAAACCCCAGACGCGGTCTTGAATCTCCTCAGAGAGTACGGATTCACGGCCGCCGACATCTCTATGATGGTCTCCCGGTGGCCAAACATTCTTTCTGCCTGCCCAGACAAAACCCTTTTGCCCAAGCTCGAATTTTTCACCTCCATTGGCGTCCCCCTCTCCATCCTGGCCAGCAGGCTGTCCCGGAACCCTTCCATCTTATGGCACAGCCTTGAGAAGTCGATCATCTCCTTATTCGATTTCCTGAAAAACCTGCTCGGGTCGGATGAGGGGGCCGTTCAAGTCTTTAAACGGGCTCCCCAGTTCTTCGGCTGGGGCCGGGTCGAAGACCTCTCGTCCAACTTCTCGTTTCTTTTGGACTGTGGGGTCCCTCGGCCATCTCTCGTGTCACTCGTCACGTACCAGCCAACAATCCTCATGGCTCCTAAGGAGAAGTTGTCCTCGTGCGTGGGCCGAGCAATAGAAATGGGGTTTGATGTGTCCAAAATTGCATTTTTGGTGGCCGTTAAGGTTTTTGTGAGTTTTGATGAGTCGACCCTCAAGCGAAAGATGGAGATTTATAGAAAGTGTGGCTGGTCGGAATCTGACATCAGGACCGCCTTTCTGAGTTATCCACTCTGTATGGCCTTCTCCGAGAAGAAGATTCTGGAGAGTATGGGTTTTCTCGTTGATAAATTAGGGTGTGCACCAGGTGACGTGGCTCGGTGCCCTTTGCTTCTTGGTTACAGCATCAAAAAGAGAATGAAGCCTAGGTGGGCGGTTGCTAGGGTTTTGAGTGAGAAAGGGCTGAAGAATGTGTCTGTCAGGACCTTGCTGGGACCGTCCGATAAGATTTTCTTGAAGAATTATATCGAGAAGTACAAGAAGGATGTTCCTGAACTTTTGGACATTTATCGAGGTATTCGAATCCTGGCCCGCACCTCCTGAATTGGTTTTCGGTCGATTGGTGATGTTAGTTGATGATTTTTTTTGTTGATTTAGGGGGATTATTTCCAGAATCTTGTTTTTTATTTTACATTTATAATCCTCTCGGTTGAACTGGAGCTGCAGAACAGTATTTTGATGAGTTAGTTGATGGTTTTTCTGTTAGTAGCTAATAACTATATATACATTAGTATGAGAATTAAATTGGGTTTCATAGCCAGATGTTCTTTTTTTCATAATCTTTTGAAGTATTTTCTGAAGCCCAAACATCTTTGTTTGTTGACTTAGGAGCATTATTTCCTGAATCTTGTTTTCTATGTTACTTTCGTAATTCTCTTTGGTTGCATTGGAGTTGCATAACGGTCTTTCACTCTTTTGATGAGTTGGTAATTGGTTGATGTTTTCTGTTAGTACTTAGTAGTTATATATCCACTAGTGTGAGAAGCAAATTGTGATCCACAGGCAGATCTTCTTCTTTTTTGGATTTTCTCACACCTTTTGACAATCATGTTTAGAGTTGGAGCATAGTACGATGTCTTTATCTTCATGCTCAAATGAAGTAAAAGATAACCATTGTTTTCCTGCGAGTTGATTAATGATGGTAACAGAAGGCTATTTTTTTTTTTTTTAATTCATTTTATTTTAGTTTTTGAATATTTCCTCAAAGGGCAAGAAATTTTTTTTGAAGGGGCAGAGCATGGGAAAAGCAGAAAAGGGGAAGTGAGTGAAAAGAATTGATGTGGAGATATTTTATTAAGATTCTCGAAACTGCATATTTTAGTGTTCAAATGTGTAATTGCAATGTGTAATCAATGTTTATTCATGATTTTTATGTTACATCGATTATCGTCTTTGGTTGAACTGGAGTTGCACAACAGTATTTTGATGATTTGGTTGATGGTTTTCTGTTAGTAGTTAATAGTTATATATACATTAGTATGAGAAGTGAAGTAAATTGGGTTTCTAGCCAGATGCTATTGTTCTTCATAATCGTTTGAAGTATTTTCTGAAGCCCAAGCCTCTTTGGATTTACTTACGCCTTTGACAATCATGCTTAGAGTTCGAGCACAGTATAATGTCCCCTTGGATTCATGCACAAAATCAAGTAAATGATGACCATCTTATCAACCCAAGTCGACCATAATTCATTGGAAGTCCTAACTGGACTTTACACATCGTTTAATCTGTTAAGTATGAGAACTAATACACAAAAACCATTATATGCCAAATGCCTGGCTCCATACGCATCATGTATCTATGTCTTCCCGAGGAACAAATGAGGAAACGAGAAAGAAAAAGGGTGGTACGATAAAATAACACCTTTTGTTATCACCTTTTAAAATTAGAGCCGTTGAATTTTGGCGGTTCCTTGCCTTGGACGGGGGCAGCTTCCATCTAATCCAAGTGAATGAATTGATAGCTGGCGTAGAACTTGGCCTAGCAATTGAAAAACGCTTTGCTTCTTCTGTTGCCTTATTATGAACTTGCCAATTTTCGTCTTAAGATTTTTATTGGATGGAATGTGATATTCAAGAAAATGGAAGCAAAAATGAAAGTCTAGGCATGCAGTAATTACTTTTTCCTTAAAATGAAATTGCTCTGAAAAATACTCACGGTTAGCGGGCAGACGCCTTCAAGATACTACCGCTTTTGACTTATATATTACATATATATCGAATTATACAAGTTTTCGATGAACAATACTAATGTTTGAAATTCTTAATATTCGATGAAAAAATAAATAACACCATATGTCATATAAGCTTTGAAAAATGTAATGTAAGACAACTTTAATTGCAAGTGCATTGAATGATTCATGGGAGTATTTATAGATGGAGGAAAGCACCTCAAGAGGTTTAAATGTTAAAACACAACTTTTGGGACATGTCTGGACGAGAATGGACCTTTGACGAGAATGGACGCACTCAAACGCTAAAGGACAGCTTACAGACACCAGGGAATGGGACCCATGTGGGTCTCGACAGTGTTGGCCAATCAAAAATTGGACTCAGAATCGAGCAGGTATCGCGGGCCTTGACGGAGCCAGTTGTATGCCCACGTGCCGTGAGCCCCCACGTGCTCATTCGGATTACACGTGCCCATTTTTTTCATACTTGTCCACATTGAACCCTATTAGAGTTCTAGCATGCTCAAATGCATGATTACCCCTCGTTAAATTTGCCAGAGTATTCGCAAATACCGAAAGCTTGCACATTTAACAATTTTCTAGTTACTTAAACTCTTTTTGTAGTTTCAAACTTTATTTTTCCACATCTACTCATTTATTTCCCATTCATGTTATATTGATTTTGAGAATTTTCCAAGTCTTTGATTTACAAGTACAAAGCCAAATTTTCTTACACGTACAATATTCATCACATATTTCGAACAAACAATCACATAAAGGCAAAATAGATGGATAAAAGTTTCCAATCAATACATTAACTGAAATGAATGATAATTGCAGAAAGTTAATGTAACATAAAACAATGACAACACGAATCTAACCTGGAATAAAAAAAAAAAAATACAACAACCAACGCTTGAAAATGAGAAATATATAACGATGTCTCTCGAGTGAGCCACTTTGGTCACCCGTGCAATTATACACGTGGTAGTTATGAAATTTGTATATATTTTTTTTAAAAGAGAAAAGTATTTGTTTTAGTTTTCAAATAATTATTGTGATATTTTAAATGACGTGCTCATCTTGCATTATAGTAATTTTTCTAACTGATGGCATATAATAGATTTACTGATAAATTCATTCAATTGATAAATAATTTTATTAATTTTCAATTAATATCAAGAAGTAATTATTTAGTCTGGGCGAGGAAGGAATGTTCTCGCCACTTCTTCCACGACCCCCCCCACCAAGACCCAAGGAACCGTCTGAAAGGAAAGTCCCACTACTGGAAAGTTCCACCCTGTCTGCCCAGGGCGGTGAGGCAAAAGAGGTGTCTGTCAACCTGCAAAATGATGTGAGCACAAGAAAATATAATATGAATATATGAAAATCAAACAATTACAAAATATAATAACTTTGAGTGAATCACGAATTTTATAATTTTAAAAATCTTAAATAAACATAAAATAAAAATTTAGATCATAGCTACTCTTAAATAGATATAATTATGAAACACTTCATTACAACTTAGTATAAGTTAGACCAAAACTTAGTTGAAGAATTAAGACAGAAAAACATAGAACGAAATATTTAGATTTGAACACAAAAAGTGCTGATTGTCAAACGCGATATATTCACTTCCCTCTGAAATTTCAAGAAAACGCTTCACTCTAAATCGCCGAGAAAGACCATCTGCTGCTCTGCATATACCGACACGCATCTGCTCGTCAGCTAACCAAGTCCATTGAATTCAAAATCGAATTTGGAATCGATGTTCGCCATTTACCGTGCCAGACGACTCAGGCTCCCACCGGATCTCTCTATTTTCGCCGCCTCTCGATTTCGGACTTCTGAAAATGCACCCATGGCGTTCACCACCGAGAAACCACCACAAGGTGTTCGCGAAAATGACCCTGAGAAATCCTTTACCTTTTCCTACCTCGTAAGCTCATGCGGGTTGGCCCCAGACGTCGCCGTCCGCGCCTCTAGTAAAATCCAGCTGAAATCGCCTGAAAAACCAGATGCGGTCTTGAATCTCCTCAGAGAGTACGGATTCACGGCCGCCGACATCTCTGTAATGGTCACCCGGTGGCCGAACGTTCTCTCTGCCTGCCCGGACAAAACCCTTTTGCCCAAGCTCGAGTTTTTTGCCTCCATTGGTGTCCCCCTCCCCATCCTGGCCAGCAGGCTGTCCCAAACCCCTTATGTCTTACGGAACAACCTGAAGAATTCAATCATCCCCTCATACGATTTCCTGAAAAACCTGCTCGGGTCGGATAAGCTGGTAGTGCAAGTCTTTAAACGGAATCCAATGATCTTCCACTTGTACCTGGTCGGCAACTTCAAATCCAACCTCTCGTTTCTAGCATCCCGCGGGGTTCCCTGGCCCTCTCTCGTATCACTGGTCAAATGCGAACCAAGAATGTTCCTGGCTCCTCAGGAGAAGTTATCTTCGTGCATGGATCGTGCAATAGAAATGGGGTTTGATGTGTCCAAAATTGCATTTTTGAAGGCCATTAAGGTTTTTGTGAGTTTTGATGAGTCGACCCTCAAGCGAAAGATGGAGATTTATAGAAAGTGTGGCTGGTCGGAATCTGACATCAGGACCGCCTTTCTGAGTTATCCGCTCTGTATGTCCTTGTCCGAGAAGAAGATTCTGGAGGGTATGGGTTTTCTCGTTGATAAATTAGGGTGTGCACCAGGTGACGTGGCTCGGTGCCCTTTGCTTCTTAGTTACAGCATCGAAAAGAGAATGAAGCCTAGGTGGGCGGTTGCTACAGTTTTGAGTGAGAAAGGGCTGAAGAATGTGTCTGGCAAGACCTTGCTGTCACCGTCCGATAAGATTTTCTTGAAGAACTATATCGAGAAGTACAAGAAGGATGTTCCTGAACTTTTGGGCATTTATCGAGGTATTCAAATCCTGGCTCGCACCTCCTGAATTGGTTTTTGGTCGATTGGTGATGTTAGTTGATGACTTTGTTTGTTGATTTAGGGGCATTATTTCCAGAATCTTGATTTTTATGGTACATTTATAATCCTCTCGGTTGAACTGGAGTTGCAGAACAGTATTTTGATGAGTTAGTTGATGGTTTTTCTGTTAGTAGCTAATAACTATATATACATTAGTATGAGAATTAAATTGGGATTCATAGCCAGATGTTCTTTTTCTTCATAATCTTTTGAAGTATTTTCTGAAGCCCAAACATCTTTGTTTGTTGATGATATTGTTTGTTGACTTAAAAGCATTATTTCCTGAATCTTGTTTTCTATGTTACTTTCGTAATTCTCTTTGGTTGCATTGGAGTTGCATAACGGTCTTTCACTCTTTTGATGAGTTGGTAATTGGTTGATGTTTTCTGTTAGTATTTAGTAGTTATATACCACTAGTGTGAGAAGCAAATTGTGATCCATAGGCAGATCTTCTTCTTTTTTGGATTTTCTCACACCTTTTGACAATCATATTTAGAGTTGGAGCATAGTACGATGTCTTTATCTTCATGCTCAAATGAAGTAAAAGATAACCATCTTATCAGCCCAAGTTAACCAAATGCCATTAGGGAAAGTAAGTAAATTGCTGGTCAATTTCCTTAATGAAACGATATAAATTGTTATAGTTTCCTAAAGGAACTCATTATTTGTCACATACAACTTATTAATAGAATTTAACAGAAGCGCTGATGCTTAATGCTGCATCTGCACAATCTAAATGCTTTTTGGCTTCTCGCAATCTAGGCAATAAAACTACAAAAGGTACCCGGTAAGTGTAGGCCCTGTTCCGGGCAGCGTTTGTAAAATTCGTAAAATGCATGAATGCTCTACTCTACATTCACTTTAACTTCTCAGTCGAGTTGTTTGGGAAAGTCGATATCATGCTAGATCATCTATTTTATTATTAGCTGGAAAGATTACCAAATTTAGGACTATATTAGATGGTAAACATTGAGATACAATACAAAAATATCAAAATTACATGGGGAAAAAAATATGCAGTCATCACATTATAAGATAATGACACTCTTTACCCATGCATGAGAGTTTTCACCAATACTCTTCACTCTCCTACTTTTGTAATTAACCTGCTTGATCCTCTGTCTTAAAAGTTAATTACTACTTGTTGATACGATTTGTATTTTGTCTCCGAAAAAAAAAAAAAAAAAAAAAAAAAAAAAAGGTACTTTTAAGTCTACAACCAGATAGCTTTAGCCTTCTTGAGCAAAGGGACAAACTCCCCTTTAACATGAAGGCTCATGACTTCATCGGCTCCACCGACCAATTTTTTTCCGACGAACACCGCCGGAAGGCTCGACAGCTGGCCGGAAAACGCCAAGATTGCCCGCTCGAGCTGCTGCCCGTTGGGCATTTCGTCAAGCTCGTAAACCGTGGGATTTGCTCCAAAGCTGCATATGAGTGTCTTAATGGTGTGGGATATGCAGCAAGTGGACTTACCGAATATTACCACCGGTTTGTCAGCCGTTAGCCTCATCAAGGAGTCCATTGTTTTCCGGCGAGTCGATTAATGATGGTAACAAAAGGCTAATTTTGTGCCTAAATTTATATGTGTGATGGGTGTTGTAATTTCTGCTAAGTTGGGAGTGAACTTTGGTCACTTGTGGAGATTGCTTATATATAGGATAAAGATGTTTGCTTTATACTCTTTTTGCTATTTTTTTTTAATTTATTTTATTTTAGTTTTTTAATATTTCCTCAAAGGGCAAGATTTTTTTTTTTTTTTTTTTTTTT